ATACATTGAGTTCGAGTTCGAAACAATCGCTCACTCAATTATTAAAGCCTAAGGGCTATCTTACTTCGAGTTCGAGCAAATGCTCACTCGGTCATAAAAAGCCTACCGTCTAAGATATTTTGAGTTCGAGTTCGAAACAATCACTCACTCAATTATTAAAGCCCAAGGGCTATCTTACTTCGAGTTCGAGCAAACGCTCACTCGGTCATAAAAAGCCTACAGGCTAAGATATTTTGAGTTCGAGTTCGAAACAATCACTCACTCAATTATTAAAGCTTAAGGGCTATCTTACTTCGAGTTCGAGCAATCACTCACTCATAAAAAGCCTATGGGCTAAGATACATTGAGTTCGAGTTCGAAACAATCGCGCACTCAATTATTAAAGCCTAAGGGCTATCTTACTTCGAGTTCGAGCAAATGCTCACTCGGTCATAAAAAGCCTACGGGCTAAGATATTTTGAGTTCGAGTTCGAAACAATCGCTCACTCAATTATTAAAGCCTAAAGGCTATCTTACTTCGAGTTCGAGTAATCACTCACTCATAAAAAGCCTACGGGCTAAGATACATTGAGTTCGAGTTCGAAACAATCGCTCACTCAATTATTAAAGCCTAAGGGCTATCTTACTTCGAGTTCGAGCAAACGCTCACTCGGTCATAAAAAGCCTACGGGCTAAGATTCATTGAGTTCGAGTTCGAAACAATCACTCACTCAATTATTAAAGCCTAAGGGCTATCTTACTTCGAGTTCGAGCAATCACTCACTCATAAAAAGCCTACGGGCTAAGATACATTGAGTTCGAGTTCGAAACAATCACTCACTCAATTATTAAAGCCTAAGGGCTATGTTACTTCGAGTTCGAGCAATCGCTCACTCGCTCATAAAAAGCCTACGGGCTAAGATACTTTGAGTTCGAGTTCAAAACGATCACTCACTCAACTATTAAAGCCTAAGGGATATCTTACTTCGAGTTCGAGCAATCGCTCACTCGGTCATAAAAAGCCTACGGGCTCAGATACTTTGAGTTCGAGTTCGAAACAATCACTCACTCAATTATTAAAGCCTAAGGGCTATCTTACTTCGAGTTCGAACAAGCACCCACTCGACCATTACGCCTACGGGCTACTTTACTTCTAGTTCGAAACGTTCACTTGACTACTAAGCCTGTGGGCTACTTTTATTTCGAGTTCGAGCAAACACTCACTCGACCATAAAGGCTACGAAGGCCGAATTAGATGAAATCGCCTAAATCCTTATGAAAACATTTGCAAGGCATGAATGAAATCTTCACAAGGCAAGAAAGCAGAAGCAAGTCAGTAAAAGAAAATGATATTAGTATAAATATACAAAGATTGTTTACATGAATAAATACAACGTAGAAGCTAAGGGCTAAGCTTCTGGGTTATCATCGAGAGCGGTCTCTTCTCCACTGGGCTCCCCCCCAGCTATCGGACCCGCTCTTGCTACCATCATCATCATTATCATCATCGTCGCCATCAGAAGCCAAGCCTTCAGCATCAACTTCGAGTTCTTTGGCCCTTTTTATCTCTT